TACGTTACGTTACGTTACGTTACGTTACGTTACGTTAGTTACGTAGTTAGTAGTAGTAGTATAGTAGTAGTAGTAGTAGAGAGAGAGAGAAGAGAGAGAGAGAGAGAGAGAGAACCTGAATATTTCCATTTTACCCTCAAATTTTCAACTTCTCATATTGCTTACATCCTATTCCTGTAGACCTTGGGAAACACTAATGGTAACCTTCTGCTTTCTTGTGAAGGATATTGAAGCGTTGAAGGATGATCTTATGGAGTTGAAGCCGACGTACTTCACTGGTGTTCCTAGGGTGTTTGAAAGAGTTTATGAAAGTACTAGTCTATGTCCCTGCTGTTTATATCTTCTGATGTCCTACTCGTCAAGTTTTAAGATTAGCTGATTAGTTGATGTGTCCTAACAGTTTCTTGTCTTCTTGACTTCAGGTGCAACTAAGGCAATAGAAGAAGTTGGTCCACTCAGGAAGAAGATCTTTAATTTTCTCTATAAACAGTGAGCAAATGCATTCTATTACAGTTTTCTGTTTTTTATTTTTCTATGAGCAAAGGTGGTTTTGACATTGTATCTCTGCATTGGGTGGCAGCAAACTTGGATGGATGAAATCAGGGTATAAACATAGTGAAGCATCACCCTTCGCAGACTTGATTGCATTCAGAAAGGTTTTTTCTTTACAGTTTTATTGCTTCTTATGTGCTTTGTAATGGTTATATCTGTCGACTGTTTCTGGAGTTACCTTGTTCTTTTTCTTGTGCTCCGGTAATAGGTCAAGGCAAGGTTAGGAGGCCGTGTTCGCTTAATAACATCAGGAAGTGCTCCTTTGAGTACAGAAGTGGAGGAGTTCTTAAGAGTTGCGAGTTGTGCTTTTGTTCTCCAAGGCTATGGTAAAATTGAGCTTTATTGGATTGAATTTGTTGTCATCATATGCAATTGTTGGTGTGAGATTGTAAATACACAAATGTACCCATCATCATCATCATCATCAGAGCCTTTTTCTAACTAATTGGGGTCGGCTACAAGAATCCTGGTTTACCATGTTGCTCTATTAAGGGAATACCCTCAGTGGCGTCATAAATCCCTATATCTTTTCTCACTACTTCCAACCATGTCCTTTTGGGCCTACCCCCTTCCCTTTTTGAGCCTTCCACTTGAACTAACTCGCACCTCCTAATAGTTGTTATATTGGGTTTGTGCTGCACATGGCCAACTCACCTAAGTCTACTTTCTCTCATCTTATCGCCAATTGGTGTCACACCTAATTTCTCCTGTATGAATTTATTTTGAATTCTAGGTCTTATTGTCTTGCCACTCATCCATCTCAACATCTTCATTCAGCTACACTCATTCTATGCGTATATTGTTTCTTGAAGCAATTCTGCCCCATAAAGCAAAGCTGGTCTTACAGTTGTCCTATAGAACTTGCCCTTTAGCTTAATTGGTATGAGGCGATTACATAAAACTCCAGTTGCACATCTTCACTTCATCTACCCATCTCTAATTCCATGTGTGACATCTTCTTCAATCTCTCAATTTTCTTGGATTTTCGATCCAAGATATCGAAAATGCGCCCTTTTTGGTATTTCTTGGCCATGAATCTTAACTACTTCCTCGTCTCTACTCCTATTATTACTAAATTTATATTTCATATACTCTTTCTTAGTCTGGCTAATTTTAAAACTTTTCGATTCTAGAGCATCCTTTCAAAGTTCTAACTCTGTGTTAACGCCATTTCGGCTCTTATCGACCAAAACTATGTCGTCTGCGAACAATATACGCTACAATACCTCATCTCGTAGGTGCTTAGTTTAGTCGTCCATAACTAAGACAAAGAGGTATGGGCTCAATGCTGACCCCTAATATAGACGCAAACGTCCCCATTCAAAACCAAATAAATGTGAATCATCATAAACATCTAAGTCTTATCCCAACTATTTTGAGTGGGCTACACGATTCCTATTCCCGCAATTCTGCCAAAAGCAAATAAATGTGAATTAGCTTACAAAAATTTTAACGGCACATGAACTACATAAAAGCTGAGAACAAAATTGTAAATCAAAGCCCTAAAATTTTTGGGGAGCAGGTTTTAAAAATGAAATATAGAAGGCACACCAGAAAGATGTTTATCATATATATGTTTTAGGTATGATGTTTGGTATTCTAGAAGGATATGGATATTTGGTCAATTTATAAGTGGAAACAACCATTAGAAAGAAAGATTTTCGAATGCCAGAAATCCCACTGCCTGCCTGGGCAGGGAGGGTGTGGGGATGAGATTTGTTTGCTGCTTGGGAGGGGAGAATTGGAATGTGTTTGATTATCTTTATTGGAAACAACATAAAAAGCTTTAGGGCATCTATTGTACTTTTCCATTCCTTTTCATTCTTCATCAGATACCTTGTCATACAGCCTCATTAGTAAATCTCTTCATGTGTGTGCGCGCGCGTGTGTGTGTGGGTGAGTTTGCATGTGCATGCTGGGTTCCTGTCATTGTGGTAATCACATGCATATGAGAGAGAGAGAGAGAGAGAGAGAGAGAGAGATGTGATTCTGCACCTTAAGGAACTACTTAAAGTTCTGTGCACTTATACATTTCTGCATTTGCGATCCTGATTGTATCTTTTATGAACTACTTAAAGTTCTGTGGACTTCTATATTTTTCCATTTGCCATCCTGATTGCATCTTTGTGAATAAATTTCTGGAATGACTATCATAGCTAATTGTTTTCAGGATTGACTGAAACATGTGGATTATCGGCGCATTGTTTCCCTGACGAGATGAGCATGATGGGGACTGTGGGAGTTCCCTCTGTGTATACTGAGCTACGTCTTGAGGAAGTTCCAGAGATGGGGTATTATCCTCTTGGCGAAACTGCACGTGGAGAGGTTTGTGTTAGAGGGAAGACACTCTTTTCGGGATACCACAAAAATCCTGATCTTACAAGAGAAGCCATCAGAGATGGTTGGTTCCATACAGGTAGTCCAATATCCAGACTGTCGATAACTAGGTTGTTGACCTTTCAAACTATATCTGGTTAGCACTTGATGAAAACAGTATCTTAGTATGATTTATTGCCTTGAAAAAAAAACTTTGTTTTGAATTTATTTATGGCTGTATAGTATGTTCCAATAGGATCATATTGTACGCTTGCTCCCTTGGACAAAAGAGCTACTAAGAAGGATCCTCTGAAAATTTGAGATCCACTTTAGAATCAATAGATGATTAGAATAAATTGTTGAGTTCTTGGAGACCTAGATCTAACCATCCAACAATTGGATGGTTTGTGTTTAATCCTATGACGTGATTTTGTTTGGGCACTTCTAGAGTGTGCATTGAATCTTTTTCAAGTTATTATTTATTTAGGTTAGTGGGTAGATTGAGTAGTTTACGGGTGACATAGCTTTGATTGACAAGACTAGAGATGGTGTCAATGCAAAGTTAGATCTTTGTAGGACGCTCTAGCATCTAAAGGATTTAAAATTAGTAGGGCTAAGATAGAATATAAGGAATGGAAGCTTAGTAATAATAGTAGTAAAAATGAACAATTAGTTAAGATCTATGGCCAAGAGGAACCTAAAAAAGATTATTTTCGATATCTTGGGTCAAGAATCAATGAGCATATAAAATTAGAGCTGGGTAGACGAAGTGGAGATGTGAATTATGTGATCGTCTCATACCAATAAAACTGAAGGGGAAGATCTATATGGTGGCCATGCTTTAGGGGATAGAATGTTGCGCTGCAAGAAATAACATATTCATACTCTGTAGAATGAGTGCGGCTGAGATGAGGATATTGAGATGGATGAGTGGTAAAAGAAGAAAGGATAAAATTCAGAATGAATACCTCGGAAGGAACTTAGGGATAGTTCCAATAGGCGATAAAATGAGGAAAAATAGACTTAGATGGTCTGACCATGTTCAACGTCAACCTAGAACACTGGTTGGGGGGGTGATTTGGTTTAAGTAGAAGGCTCTACAAACACAAGGGGAAAGTCCGAAAGGACATGGATGGAAGTAGTGAGAAGAGATATGGTGACCTATAGTCTGACTGAGGGTATGACCCTTGATAGAGTGGAATGATGAAATATGATTTGTGTAGTTAGCCCCAAATAGTTGGGATAAGGCTCGGATGATGATGATGGTAGTAGATTGAGTGGTTTAAATTCCCAAAATTTGGGGTCCTAAAATTACCTTGTCCAGGATTTTAGCAAAGGGATTAAGTGTACAATTTTTTCCCTTGGGAGCATATAATCTTATTGGTTTATTTTGGGAATGTAGAGATTGATTTGATTGCTTATTAGATTTTATTTTATCGTATATGGCTTTCTTGGTAAAGGTTCAATAATTTTTGTTACAATGTCTCTTCTAGTTGATTCTCTCTAGAGAGAATTCTATGTCTTGCAAGTGCCTGTTATGCTGGAAAAGTGTCTTATACACTGAAAATTTCATGCCTATCTATCTATCAATCTACACAAACACTCATGCATATTTTAGATATATTTCATTGATCAATTTTGTCTGTCTCTAATGCATTTGGTTCATCCAGGAGATATAGGGGAGTTGCAGCCAAATGGTATTTTGAAGATTATTGATAGGAAGAAAAATATATTCAAACTTTCTCAAGGGGAGTATATTGCAGTTGAATATCTGGAGAAAACCTACTGCTCTGCACCTATTATTGAAGATGTGGGTATTTTTCTACTTTATCCCTCATAAATTTTAATTTTAAATTTTAATTTTTAGTTATTTATTTTTTTTCTGTAGATTTGGGTATATGGAAATAGCTTCGAGTCAATGTTGGTTGCAGTAGTTGTACCACATAAAGAAAGTGCTGAAAAATGGGCATCTCTCAATGGACAAAAGGGGTCCTTAACTGAGCTGTGCACACTTCAGCAACTGCAAAATCATATTCTCCTTGAGCTTAGATCACTTGCTGAGAAGAACAAGGTAACTTTCCACAATGTGCAAGCTCTGTGTGTGAATTGGTTAGATTGGCTTCTTTACTTTTTTGAATTTCTATTTTGCTTCCCCTTGATTTCAGTGCTAAATCATTCTGAAGTCACAGACTCCCTTGATTTACGCTAGGATCTTAGGATTTTTCTTTGGGAAACTGTCCCCTAGTCCGATGGATCATGGTTTACTCAACTATCCTTTGAGGTCATTTGTATCCAATAAAATGATTCACTAGGATAGGTCAAGAGAGGGACCCACCAATGGGACATGTCCGGTCTTAGTGTGTCCCGCTTTCCCTATCGTTTGTCTAATTTCCTCAGATAGGGATGATCATAATGAATTATGAGTGATGAGTACATAATAGTTCATTGGGTAGTGTGCTTTTCTATTTCCTTTGGAATATAACAAGCATATTGATGCTTTGCATTCTCGTGCCTTAAGAGTTCCTCCTTTGCAAGCTAAGGGAAATGATGTTTTCCCCCATTCTTGCATTATTAGTTTATCTATTAGGATTTTTTCAGTATTCCCTTTAGGTGTGATTTGTGATTTTCCTTCTTGAGGTTTGTCTTTATGCATTTTTTTTTCTTGCTCTTCTTTTTTATGTTTATGTTACTTCGTGGCAAATTTCTTTGTATGATACCCTGTATAGGTTCCTCCTATATGCATTGTAAATGTTCTCAAAATACGTGTTTCTGCTTTTTCAGCTGAGAAAATTTGAGTTTATCAAAGCGGTCTTCTTGGATCCTCAGCCATTTGATATTGAAAGGGACCTGGTGACACCTACACTGAAGAAGAAAAGGGGCCAACTTCTGAAACACTACAAGGTAAACTGCTCTGTGTGTGTCTCGAGAAGAAAGCTATGTTTTTAATCTTTTCTGAGCCCAAACTTCTCGCATATCAATTGAAGATATAAATCTGTCTATAGACATGAACAAGAAACAAGTCTACACTTAGATTCCTACATGCATATGACCACACTAATACGAAATAAACACATTTATGTGCATGAACTAGTCTGCTTTTTCCCTTGCCTAACTTAGTCTATGCTTAAATTTGTTCATATCTACAAGCACCCTAAGAAATAAACACATGCATGTCTACATGAACTCCTCTACTTTGCGGGCTACCTAGCTTTTGAATTCATTTGACATCCTTTGGTATGCTGCGATGAACTTCTATTATCATTAGAAATCTGGCTTACCACATTCCCTTGCTTTATTGTGCATAGTTGGTGGTTTAAACTTTTGTTTTGCTTGTTTTTAGTCTCTGCTGGTGATAAATCTTTTGAGAAAAATAAAAACAAGTTGCCAAAAGAAGGGTGCTTGAAGACATTTTTCAGTACCTTGGTCCTTGACGCGGAATAAAGAGGAAGCATGTCAATAAAGCCTTAATATATACTGAAATTCTCGACAGTCTCAAAATTGCCCCAGAATGGGTCAAAATCTTTCTAAGTTCTTCAAAGAGCCACCTGCTAGGTTTCGTCGCAATCCGACATATCTAAGGTAGCGCAGACAAAGAAACAATTTCGGAAAAATCAGCCACTAGCACCCGGAAAAAGACCTCGTAACCAGAGCTATATTCTTGATGTGTCAAACAGCTGTGGGACCACCGCCATTGGATCCGGCACGGTCGAAAACCTCTATGGGTCAAGTTTCAGCTTGATCGAGCATTTTAGGACAAAGTTATGGGTAAAAGACCAAAAAGTGGTAGGCTGCGCACTATTCCCGTGCGGCCTCCCTACACCAATCTCCATTAAAGGAGGCTGATGTGTACAGTCCCGAGCAGCAACTTCAAAGGCCGATATCTCACTTGTACTGAGTCAGATCGCTCTCAAATCTGGTGAGCGTGTTCGTCTCATCAAGACGAGCGTTTTGATATGTGGCATGACCTGTAACGATACTTAAGCAGGGAGAAAAACTGGAGAGAAGTTGATGATTCGTGAAGATAGTTGCAGAAAATTCAGCAGCAGCAAGCTTCGCTCGAGCAGCCAAATCACGGCGTTCGCGTACCCGATCGATGTGAAACCAATTGCATTATATGCGTAAGGTTCGAGGCTATCTCTAGTCCGAACCCCGCGTATGATGAACAGTTGGATTTCACACACGGAGCCGTCAAAGCTGCTGTAAATTCCGGCCTCCAAATTTCCAGAATCCGACCAAAAACTCAAGACAACAAAATTTTCGATCGGACACGAAATCGAGCTGCATTTGTTGCTACGCGATCGTGACGGCATGCTTAGTGTGATTCAATGAAGAAATCAAAGAAAAACATCAAGAAACAAGCACACTATCGATCCAAAGTTTGCAAGATTCATTCAAATTTCGAGTCGCATGATCGTGACCCAAGAACACGATCCATGATTCGAAGTTGGTATTAAATCGATCGCCATGCTGAGCCCTACAAGAAAACAATCATCTTTCGATCAAACGAGCATCAAAGCAACCCTGAATTAGTCATAGAAGATCACGCAAGTTCTCGAGCAGCAGTAGAGACTGTTTTGGAATTTCACACATTGTTGGGCAGGGGCAAAACAGTCTTTTTGCACCCAATTTTAGAATTTCTTTTAATTCAATTAAATTGTAATTATCATCAACTTAGGTAGTTTTTGGGCGCAGACCTATGTTTGGGCCCAATTCTATATAAATATGCAAAGCCTAATTGTAAAAGAACCTTTGATCATTTAATAAAATTTCAATTCTTGCTTAAGTTCGTGGGTGAGTCTTGGAGAGAGAAAGAGGAGAGAGAAGAAAAGAGACGGTATTCCTTGGTAAGGTAACTTTCTCTCTCCTCTTTTCTCTCTCATCTCTCACTCTTACTCTCTTTTCTTTTCTCATCTATCTCTCTTTCTCTCTCTTCTTTTCTCATCTTTATCTCTCTTCTTTTCTCATCTTCATCTCTTTTTCTCTCTTGTCTTTATCTCTTTCCTTCTCTTTTTTCTTTTCTCTTTCCGTCTCTCTCTCTTCTTTCTCTATCTCTCTCTTTCCTTCTCCTTCCCTCATCTCTATCACTCTCTCTCTTCATCCTCTGGTTATCACTTTTCTTTTTCCCTGCACTTCTCTCTTTTCTCTATTCACGCATGGCGGACCTATCGTTTGGTGTGACGTCTTCCTGCTTTTGAGGCATGAATAGTGAGTCGGGCCATAACTTGAGTGGCGGGCCGGGCCTCTATCAAAATTTCCTTTTCTCTTCAGTCACAATCGGCGGAAGCATATCGTCGCCTGTGTTCTCTCTCTCTTTCCTCTCTTCTGTCACAGCCGGCGTAAACCTATCGCCGCCTGTGCTTTTTCTCTCTTTTCCTTTTGTTACAGCCGGTGTAAACCTATCGCCGGCTGTGCTTTTTCTCTCTTTTTTTCTGTCACAGTCAGCGGAAGCGTATCGCCGCCTGTGTTTTTTCTCTCTTTCTTCTCTTCTATCATAGCAGGCAGAAACCAATCGCGGCCTGTGCTTTCTCTCATTTTCTTTCTGTCTTAGATGGAGAAAGTCTATTGTCGTTTGTACTTTCTCTCTCTTTTCCTTCTGTCACCGCTAGCGGAAGCCTATCGCCACCTGTGTTCTTTCTCTCTCCTCTTCCTTCTGTCACAGCTGGCTGAAGCCTATCACCGACTGTGTTTTTTCTTTCTTCTCTTTATTCTGTCATAGCTGGCGGAAGCCTATCGCTGCCTGTGTTCTCCCTCTGCTCTTCTTTCTCCCACAAACGGTGGGAGCTCATCGCCGTCTGAGTTTCTCTCTCCCCGTCTCATTGCCGTTTATGTCTTCCTTCCTCTTCCTTATCTCTCTACTTCTTCTCTTTGCTTTTCCCTCTCTTCTTTCTCTTCCTCTTTCTTTTCCCTCTATCTCCTCTCATGCTCTTCTTTCTCTCTCTCTCCCTTTTCTTCTATTATTCTCTTCTTCTTTCACTGATTTCTCTCTCACTTCGCTCTTCCTTTTTCTTTTCCTATCTTATTTCTCTTCTCCATCTTCTCTTCTCTCTCTCTTGCTGTTCTATTTTCTTTTTTAACTCTTTCGTTTGATCAAAGGGGGGGTTGAGACTAGCACTCCATGGTAGTCCGGCCGTCTAACAGTACCGCCGTTGTGCCGGTCAGAGTTACTGTGCCTGCTTTATTGTCACGACAGACTAGCCATTGTGTCAAGCTAGTCGGTATTGGTACTGTCGCCTAGTAGTAATTTTGTTGAGTCGATCTGAGTTCCAAGCTCGTTTTACTGCCACACCTTGTCAATTACCTACTAGTTTAGTCACTGTGTCGGTCTCATCGCCTGGTTAAATTCTTCTCATCCCAATCTTAATTCTCTCATTCTTCTCTTCTCTTTTTTGAATGTGAACGTCTGTATACGTTCACCCAAAGGCAAGGTGGGGTCCCTTGACCCACTTGTATTGTGACATTTGCCATGTGTGTGTGATTGCAGAAACAGGAGAATACAGGCTAAGAAAGGCGATTCCAAACCAGTTCTACGACTGAGGGGCTTTCTTCGTGATCTAAGAGGGCACTCACGCGAGCTAGCCTGAGTAAGTCTCGAACCCACCTTAAATTCCTCTCTCGTCGGTTGGTCGACCGGCCCTCACTCATGAGCGAGGTTCTCGAGAGAGCGATCTCAAAGTCCCGGGTTCCCTTGAAACCCGAGATGCGTGCTGCCCGATCATCCAGATCCGGAGGTCGAGATCGAGGCACCTAGGCACCTAACTAGCTTGGCGACTCCACTGGGGACTTACTACCCCTACGTCGGGTCGTTCTTGGTTGGCTAGTTTCTCCTTTGTTTTTCTGTTTTCACACACTTACGGCTTTAGGGTTCTGTAACCCATTCATCCAGATTGGGGATTTTCTTATCCCGGCATTCGTGATGTCCCCAGGGGACAAGTTCCTCGAACTTCGTTCCCAACCTTCTTTTTGAGCAATGACCTCAGGTCTAGCTCCCAAGTCTTAACCTGGATTGACGTGAGGAGGGATTTAAAGGTCCCTAACTCCCCATCTCCTAGCTCTGGTGGAACCTCCACCAAGGCACCCTGCATCGGTTGCACATCTGCTGCCACTCACAACATGCACCCTGTCACCTGCAAGTCGCTTGTCGGTCGCATCGCCGGGGTACGGCGAAAGGCTGCCCAGTCCCTTGTTGCAAAAGGCAAGCAAACTGCCGTTGCTTTTGTGGGTCTTCGCAAGGCTTCTCCCCACATTCCTGCACCACCACGAGTCTCTACCCTCAGAGGCTCAACACATCGAGGCGGAGACCCTGGGGCCTCCATCTCTTGCACACACCATAAGGCTCGTGGGTCATCCACTAGAGTCACACCTAGGGGCAACTTTTATGTTACCTTGAGTCAACGTCTAGGATCAGGCCTCCCAAGACCAGGTCCTACGCACGTTGCGCATTTGCATCCCACCACTAGGGGCAACGCCATCGTTGCGTCAACCCAAGTACACGGAAGACGACCCCCTCGTCCTCCTCCTCAACACACACTAGCGCACCCTGTAAAGGGTAGGCTTCCACCTGTTCTCTTACAAACACCTGCTCGCAATTCTCGACCTCCTAAGGCTGCCTTGGAGTTGCATCATCTGAGTGATGGGAATCGGCCTCATAATTAGTTGACTGTGGTGCGGCATCTACGCGATCAATCTTCTCCATCATTGCGCGCATCATGATAGCACCATCTTAGGGAATACGGGGCAATGGTAGCGCTCTAGGCTAATACCTGGGGCAACCAACCAAAGGGAGTGATCAGCACAGCCATCATAGTCAGCGATCCAAAGAAGGCTCCCTCCCAAACTTTGGACCTCTTCAAAGGGGTCAACACAACGAAAGCGCCTCAAACAGGCAAGCAATAAGAGTCGTACAACCGAGTACCCCCGCCTACAAACCTTAATCAAGATGATTATTGGACTAAGCATAGAAACAAGGTGTACCCCTTTGAAAAGGAATGGGTCCCTGCATTACTCCGACTGCTACTCGAACAAAACATGATCGGGCTCCTAGAGACCAAGTTCCCTGATCAAATTGGACTCGATACTTAGGCGAATTACTATGCTTACCATCAAAGGATTAACCACCCCACAGATGACTGCTACACGCTGAAAGATATTATCGAAGCCCTAATCCAGAAGGATCAGATAAAACTTGAGGTAAAGAAGGCATTCGGGGCAGCTGAAGCCTCCCACGCAGTAACAATCCAAGAGGAAGATGAAGCGCCTGGTCTCCTTCGTGCCTTTTTCGCTATAATGCTTCAAGAAGGCCTCATCGCACAAAAACCGGCAAGGTAGCCCCGACGCCTTGCTCAGGGGACTGAGGACCATTAGTGCCTGCCCGTACCATCAGATATGGGGCCACGACATGTGTGAATCCTCCAGTTTCCATGGTATAATCGCAAAGAAAATATAGGAAGGCCAAGAGTCTTGTAGCGTTCCAAAAAGTGATCCTCAAACCACTGCTCCACCAGAACAAGAGGACCTCCTAACACAAGTCTTGGGTAAAGATGACTCAGATCCTGCTGAACTCTCGACTTCCCAGCCATAGATAGTCCACCATAGGCAGAACAGACTCAAGTCATTAAGGCGAGAAGCAGTTCGTCAAGCTAGGGTTGTTCATAAACCCAGCGAGATAGATCAACCACTGCCAATGAAAACCAGAAGAAGATGAGCACCAAGGGCTGCTCGCCGGA